TGTGTGCCGCTATGAGAGTCAGGGGGGGGGGGGATTGGGTTTGGGAGAATCAATAATCGTTCCTCCTCTTTTCGCACCCCCATTCCACTTACCTGGCCGTCCGCGCCAAGTGTCGCAGTTCTTGCCCTAACCCAACTGTGTGCGTCTGTTCTCGCTTATTTTTGTCTGGTGCAACCCTTGTGCGTGGACAGCGGGTTGACCCCAATTTTTGCATTTCGGCTGTAGCCCTTGAGATGAAGGGAGAGGGCTAATAGACCCTTTCGGATTTTTTTGGGGCCAGACAATATGCTCAGACAAAAGAGGGTCAGATTTTGCGGAACCTGTAGCCGGTGACGGTTTTATTTGTCTGAAGCTACCCCTCCTTTCACCCACGACTCAGACAAATACCTCTCGCCAACCTCATTGACCTGAGGCGTCTGTTCCTGTTCAGAAGGCTCAGATATTTGACATTCGAGCAGCAACAGAGTAGCGTAAACCACAAAAGATGGCATCGCATGGTACAGGCTCGTCCAAGCCTCATGTCACCACCACCGGACAGACAGACGTAGCTGCTCCTCCTCCAATGCGGCCGGTGTGCGTCTATGTGTAGATACGTGGTGATCGCTGTTAAAGGAACCGGGGGGAGGGTGGGATGAGACAAGGTTCACCGGTCGCTTCAAAAAGAGCAACTTCCTTGCCTACAACCAGTTCAGGAGAACACCCATACCATGAGCTGTAGGCCACTCGAACTGCTGGGAGGTGGCCCAAAAGTTCCCTTGGGTGCCTCTCTATCGGCGCCATCTCCTCTGCACCGCTGTTGCGGTTGGAATGCAGCTTAACAAATCGCTGTGTGAGGTTATTGTTCTGCGATGAAGCTGCTTGCTGCTGCTGCTTGCTGCTGCTGCTTGCTGCTGCTGCAGCTAGCTAGCTGCTTTTGCTGACCGCCGCCTCTCTCTCTCGGTTGATTGAAGCAGGACGCCACCTGATCGGCTGAGAGTTTGCTTGCTAGAAGCCTTGACAGGGTGTTTCTCTGCGGTAATAACACCCCCTCAAGATGCTCCTGGCGCCTTGGATTACCGAGGGCACCACCCAACCAAGCAAACCTTTTTACTTGCTTGGGGGGAAGAAGAGCGTGGGGAACGATGCGCGCGAGTCATTCGGCCAATCAGCGGCGGGCCGTTGCCACGTCATGCCGAAAAAACATCTGAGCCTTTTTTCGGATCTTTTTCATGCCAATTTTTGTCTGGGCAACTCTGTCTGGGCGTTTTGTCTGGACAAAACCACACATATTTCCGAAACTCCCCAATGTTGGGTAGGGTGGGGGGTAAAAAGACGACTATGTTTTTTGCACCAAAAACTCTCCGAGAAAGCGAAACGTTTGGACACATTTCGATTGTCTGTCGATTGGTTCGTCCTGGACACGAGGAACCCATGCTGGTGTATGTCCGCCGAGAAACAAATCTCGTCGAGAGTTGGTGGTTCTTGCTCTTGCCGTCGGCAATGGCTTGGACCGGCTCTGTTCCAAGGAGTTTCAAGCAGGGCCTTTTGTATCTCCGAGTCAAGTTGGACCATATGACCCTGCAGTGGGCGAGGGGAACGGAACCATTCACCGAAAACCGTTGACGAACTCGTGCCATTCCAACCCGTACCTTGCCATGCCCGCGTCGTTGTTTCGTCTCGCGCAGGATGGATTTTTGAAGATTTGGGACCTCCGCTGCAGCAAAGCAGTCGCCACGTTTGACTCGAGGTACGGAGCTGTCCGCGACGTCCAGTTCAGCCCGCTCCAGGAGTTCCAGTGAGTCAGTCCAACGTGTAGCTATTGCCGACCAAGACGTGTGTGTGATTGTTGATGTTGCCGTTGCTACTGCTGCTTCCGCTGCTCGTTTTTTAGTGGGTGTGGCAGCACCATGGCCTCTTCTTGCATTGTCTAGAATGCAAATATGGGGCATTGTTCCTTCGCCCGGATTACTCGTGCCGGGGTCCATCAATCTCCCAAGCGGTCGAAAAGCGGGGGCTAACGGTGGTCTCCAATGCACCCCGTCGTCCACCGTTTCGGAAACAGAGCGCATCACTCAGTCCGGGCGCCTTGGCTTTTTGTCGACATATCCCCCCCCTCTCGACCCCCTTCGGTGTTTGCCATCGGGATTGGGTTTTCGTCGCTTGGCAACGACGTTGTAAAGCAAGCCAATTCACTNAAATGGTCAAGCACCCTCGAGGCAGTTACACAGTGCTTACAACTGTCTCTGGAAGTGAAGCACCAGAAAGTATATTAAGTCATACGCAGCTGTCGTCCGTACGCAAGGGAGTATGCACAAGATGCCGAACACCCTTAGCAGGATGCAGCGCACCCTTCATGCGACTCGCCGAATCCCTCACGGCTCTTCGCGCGTGGTGATGTGAGAGCCTGGTCCGGTGAGAACCCGGCGTGCTCCGTCCTGGCTATGTAGGGATGCGAGGTCAATGGTCTGAAGACTACGGCATGCACGACAATGAGTACACTCCCCTCGCCCCTCGGCCGTGCCCCCCAATCTCTCTCTTCGCCGGCCACCGGAACAAGTGAATGTCTAGCTAATTTTGGTCACTTTTTTCCCGTTGGGTGTGTATTCAATACTTTCTCATTGGGTAAGGAAGTGTTTTCTCACAGGTACCCCTTCTAATCGATTCTCGGCCGGCCCTCCTTCCACACCTTCAGCCTCGTACGTTTCTGCTCTCGCCAGTTTGTTTCTGCGCGTCATGTGTGTGTGTGTGTGTTCGCATGTGCACGTGCTTTGTTTTCTGCCTTCGAGTACAGGCGACAGTTTGGCGAGAACTTTCGGCTACGGCAGTAGTTCAACCACCACCTTGGTGTTGTCTCCACGTCCATCGCCAGTTGCGTTTTCCCTCCTGGTCTGCTTTATCTCACTTGTCTGCCCCCCCGTTACCCGCGATGTTTCTCTGCGCCCGCGCGTGCCGCGTGCGCGGCTGCGTATTTTCTCCCTCAATCGATCAAGCTTTGCTGCCGTATTCGACAATGGCAAGCTGCAGATCTGGGACTACAAGTTTAAACAGCCGAAGATGAAGATCGCTTCGCACACCAAGTCGGTGAGGGAGGTTCTAGAGTCTACTACAACGTGGTGGAAGCCGCTCCACGCTGTCTTGAGCATGGTAGAATATGGAGTCGTCCGTCGCACATACCAGCTGTGACTTCTTACGAGCACTGTTGCTCCAGGAGTATCATCTTCGTTGTTTGGCCTGTACGCGAGCGCTTTGTTTGTTCCAGCCTAACTTGTTTCGTCTGTCACAACCCCCAGTGGCTGTTTTTGTGTGTCCAAGCGCCTTCCTATCTGTGTCTGTCGTTCACTCTTTCTAAGCGTGTGTGTCTCTCTCTCTCGCTGCTCCCTCTCTCACGCACACATGTATCCATGGAACAAGACGAATCGCGCTTTCCGTCGCGCGCAAGAGCTCAGGGTAGGCCTTAGAACTGAGTTCAAGGTGTGCACACTCCCCACTGAACAAGCACGCATTACTTGTCATCCATCTCGGTGGTTGTGCGTCCAAATGGCAGGCGCTTTCCGTGGAGTGGCACCGAACCCTCCCTTGGCGACTCGCCACCACCTCAGACAAGGTGGTCGAGATCTGGGACCTTACCCCCCCCGCCGTCGACCGGCAGCACCAGAAACAACAGCAGCAAGGGCCGGTGATGGAGCAGACCCTCCTATCCACGATCACGCTTCGGTCGCCCGGCATGGTGAAGATACATATTTGTTGAAGTATTTATTGTTGGAGACAAGCTTTGGTCGCAGCTGGGTAACGTTTCGTGCTTGTTGTTGTTGTTGTTGTTGTTGCACTAGTGTCTTGGTGTTGCCGAATGGTTGCGCTTTGTATGTGTGCAATCGTAATGGTTTCACCGATGCATGCAAATTGGCTTCTGAGCTGCTTACGAGACCACGATGTGAGAGTATCACAGAGGAATTCATGAAAGGTAGATTGCGCTGTCCCCCTAGTGCCGCCTGCTTCGACATGCGCAACTAAGAGCCATGAATTGAAACCCGGGCATCGAATTTAGACCAGATGGCATGCCGCACATGCGCCAACTCTTCCTCTAAAGCCGCGCTCACTCCACGCCCTCTTCAAGTGTTCGATGATTTGGCCTCCGGCGCACTGAGTTGTGGCTTCAAGAAATCCACAGTAAGGAGTGGTTGTATTTCCTGGAGTACCAACCCAATGTGTTGCGCACGTGTATCGATCAGCACTCGGCCTGATCTTGTGCTCAACACGTGGCAACAGGCATTTTCTGAACGCCTCGTCTACCCCCGCCCCCCGCTGTCCGTTTCGTTTTGCCCGCAATAATTCCCACACCGAAACAAATGCACGTGGGGCCGTGTCGAAAAAAGGTGAGCCGCGCCAAATGGAGGCCCGGCCATCCCACCCAGATCGCCACCGCACAGGTGCCCCCTCGCCTTGGAGACACCGACTACGCGATCATGGTGCACGACATCACCGATCCTGCGGTGCCCCACTTCGCCTTGTACGGGGGCGACGACAAGAAGAACGGTTTCTGCTGGCTGGACACGCCGCTCAACCTGGAGAGCCCGGGGGCCCCGTCGTCTAGTTTTTCCTCGGGGGTCGGCGGGGGGACCGGGTTTGCGGCATCCAGCGTACGTCGTTTTTTGCTGAACACTTATTGAACGGGGGCACGGTGGTCCAGAATGGGGGGGGGGGTAGAAAAAATAATAACCCCTCTTCCCAACCTGCAGGAGAGTTGTGGTTTTTCGTCTGTTGCGGCGGAAATGCTAGAGAGGCCTGAACTTGCGGGCTAGGCAAGACAAGCCACTACTCCCGATTGTTGGTTTCGGTACGCTGGCAGAGGGTGTATCGCTTCCATCCTCCGGTATATCGTGTTTATGCGAGAATGGCGGCGAACAGAATCTGCGCGCTAAACCAACTCACCACTTCCACAAAGCTTTACTTCTGGTTGTTGCTGTTGCTGTTGCTGATGCTGCTGCCTGTGCTAACGCGTCTTTTTGCACCCGTGAGCTCGCATCAAGGTACGAGTTTACAAAGACTACGAATTTCTTCCGGACCTCATCACCCCTGTCCACAACTTAACGATGTTTTGTTTTTGCAGAAGGCGAGGCGTGTTGGCGCCGGGGGGCCGAACGAAGACGCTAGGGCGGTGTGGGGCGGCGGCATGGGCGTGTGGCAGCACGTGGTGTCCTGTTCGGATGTAAGCCTGTCGCCGTTTTCATGGAAAACAAAACGACAAAAGCAGTACTCAAGGTTTCACTTATTCAAGCATGCTCTGGAAATGATAACAGTTTTCTTCTCAACGACTAGGAAGCGGGTGCGTCGTGCGCCTGAACAAGTACTGGGGTACATATGTAGGTTTCCATCTCCTGCCCCGCTTTCCTTGAACGCTTCGTAGCACTTTGTTGTGGCGAGTAGGCGCATGTACTGCACCCTAGCCCCTTTCCCCGTGCCTGCCTTTGGAACCATGTATGCAAGTTGTTCTTGTCTTGTTGCTGTTTTGATGTGGAGAACCGTTCTGACCGCTGCATCCACTACCTCCTCGTCGCTATGCTTGGAAGAAGAAAAGAGCATGACGAGAAAGTAAAAGAAGCGATGTTCCCAAATGCATCTCTGTTGCGCTTGCTTATTTTCTTCTCGCATAGCACGGTAAGGTACGTGTGCACTCCCTGGCGAAGTCCACCCTGCCACGGCGCAACCTGGAGGTATTCGGCACGAGGGGCTTCCAGTCCAGCAGCAGAGGGGAGATGTGCTCCTGGCTTCACAAGAGGGAGGACGACCCGGCCCTGTGGTGCATCTACGAGAACGAGATGACACAGGTGCGTGGCTACCGCCAACGACCCCATCAGAGACCACTGCCACATACGGATCCCCTCGCAGCATCTCCCATCCCCTCACCGGGCGCACCGGAATTTTTACAATGTGGGGCTGTAGGCCTGAAATTGGATCCTCAGGGGGAGGGGGGCCCTACAGAGAGCAGAACTCAATCAAACCCCCCTTCTTTTTTCGCGATTTTCGATCCGCTTCCACCGGCAACTTTTTTTTTTCTGCACGTTCGTGTCCCGGATTCCTGCCGCGTTGTTTCGTGGTCATTTGATGGATTGTACCGCAACCCTGTCGCCCCCGTGCAGGCGGCCCCGGGAATGTTCAGAGAAATGGTGCGCGACCGGACGACGAGCGACATACAGCTCGCTTCCCCCTGCGCCCAGCAGCAGCAGCAGCAGCAGCAGCAGCAGCAGCAGCAGCAGCAGCATCCTCACCAGGCGGGAGGGACGACGGCGCTTCAGCAGCAGAGGATCGCTCGAAGTCTGGTGAGCCATGGTGTCTCGGGTTGCGTGGAGTACTTTTCCCCTCTCGTTTCCGTTCTTGGCCAGGGTGTGCAGCGCTAGTCCGTGTGTTCGCTCTTTGAGGGAAGAGATCTCTGCACTCTTCTCGCATTAAAAATCAAAGACAAAGCACCGCAGGAGGGGTGGGTAGGGGGCCTCAGGGAGAGGAACCCTTCTGTGTGACGACGGGTTGGGGGTCCTACGAGGCAGAACGCCGTGAGCGCTGATTTGAAGCGATGTAAAAAACATATAAATAAATAAATGTATGTGTGGCCTGTTGAAGCCCACGAGTCGGGCGTGGGTTTCCTCTTCAAGGTCCTTTCCTGCTTTGGGGTGAACCATGCACCCCGGTCGCCCCGGTGGTGTAGTTGGTATCCTCGAAACCTTCTAGAGGACAGGTCAGGGGTTCAAATCCCGGCGTAAGGGAGCTTTTCTCAAAGTGAATTTTTCTCTCGCTTCCGCTCCTGGCCCAGTGGATAGCGCTGGTTCGTGTGTACACAGAGGGAAGAGAGTGCTGAAATCTTCCCGCATTGAAAATCGAAGGCAAAGTACCGCAGGAGGTAGAGAGGGGCTCCTCTGTGTGACCACGGGTTGGGGTAAACGGCGCCAGTGCTGTGAGCGCTGATTTGAAGTGAAGACAAAAAAAAAAGTGCACCAGTCAGTATCCTATGGACGAAAAGCCGCGGCCTTTCGTTCGCCTTTTTTTTTCACCAGCAAGATCACCGGCCGGACTCGACAAACGGCATTGTTGCGCTTTGTTCATGGTACATAAGCCAAGCAATCCGACCATCCAAACAATCGGACCCGTCTGCAACACATGTGCGGTATTGTGATGCAGCCCGCTGGCGCGATGCGGCTGTTGATACCGCGTTAATACTGGCATGACTTTGGTACTGTACTGGTACGTGTCGTGGGCGATGCCAACCGGGTCCGCCCCGTCCCCCGATAATCATATCAACTATGGGGGCCTTGTTGGGGTGCGAGAGGAAAAGCGGAGATCTTTTGATGTCCCCCGCCGAAAGATCGCAACGGGTGTATTTACCCCCGCCACCCCTCGCTGCACTTTTGATACATTTCTGTTCACGGAACGACAGAGCCTGGGGGACCAAACAGGGAGCATCTCGGGGAGGCGAATGGGAGGCGCTGGGCCGACCTCGTCGCCGGGAGGGCCAGGTGTGGCATGCATGCCTCCGTAGGCTTCCTGCACGAACCGAGTTGACCGTCTATTTCTGTTCCGAATATATGACGTCAGTCAGTCGGTGACAAAAGCACGGGAGCCTACTACTGTGTGCGTAGTTCATCCTTTACCTCGGGCTAATCATCTCGTTCGGCATGACAATCATTTCCCGTCCGTCTCTCTCTTTGCCGCTCGTTGTCATCTTTTTCTTGCTGCAACCGCGCCGTTTTTACGCACATCACGCCGCTCGTGCCCGACGCACCGTGTGCATCTTGGCTAATTGTTCGGTCTGACGGGCGACAGAGGAACTACCCGAGCGAGCGCGAATATAGCGGCCTTTGCTTCTTGAATGAACTCCCGCAGACAGTCTGAGCGCCGCGAGCAGTACAAAGCCTGATGCAGCTTCGGTTTCGCTGTGTACGTCGGGTTGGAGCTGGCCTACCTCCCCATTTTAGCTGGTCTGTTTCACGATCATGAAAGTTGTTTTCCTGATGCTTTCGTCATTTTCCCCATTTCCTGACATTTTTCTCTGTCGCCGATCGTTTCGGGATGATTTGAAAACCTCTTCATGGCATAATTCTTTGTGTGCTTGGGCACGGCGGTCTCTCCCTCTGGTTCAGTGGCAATGGCTGCGTCTGCGGCGCACAGAACGGCCGCCGGATTGCCACGAAGTCCAAGCCTTGCTCGAGGACAGTGAGTACAAGTAACGCAACAGTGTAGTGGGCTGTAGCGCTTTTCTCCAATAGCAGCGGTGGTACTAGTCGTCGATTCTGACTGCTCAAACATGCGCGGGGCATGTGTCTATGCATACTGTATCCGGCGAGAATAGTCACCGCTTTCCCGTGGCGAATCAGTGCCCCGTTACAATACGGGGAACATTGGAAGTCCTCGTATTACTATCGAGTGCTTCGAGTGCGCGCCGCATGCTCGCAGCAACACGCTACCCCCCCGCAGACCCATGCTTGAACACAGCACTAAAGGCAAACGCTTTTTGTGTGTCGACTCTTTCCGCTACATTAAAGTTTCCTCCGCCGTTACTCCCTGTTCTGTTTTCTTCCTTCAAACTCTCCATCGCCAATAGATTCATTTGGTCTCGAACGAGGAAATCTTTCAGATGTTTTTTTTTTCGATTTCTGTTTTCTTCGCTGCGGAAGGGCGTACCCGATGAATCAGTATACTCTGATATGAAGGTCATCCTGCGAGGGGTTGCTCTGGACTTCGGCTGGACCAGAACATGTGCAGATTCACACAAAGGATTCACTCTTTTCTAGCGCAAGGGTGAACCTGCGCTGCAATCCCGCGTGATGCCCACTGTTCGGGAGACCCAAAAGTGCGTCTGTCCATGAATGAAGGCAGGCGGTCCGGCCACTCTCCCTCGTGAGCTGCAGAAAAAACTGGGGCACGTTCCCTGGGGTCCTTCTGCTTTTTCTGGGGATGACGCAGTGAATATTCGATGGGGTTGGGATGTTTGGAAGCAGTTCCCGTGTCATTCACGCCCGCAAAATGCGCGGCTGAAAGGAGGGTCGGGGTCCGTAAAATGGCACTTCGCGCGAAGAGGGTGGTTTCCTGCACAGATGTCGGTCCGCTTCGAACGCTTCGCCAAAACGATAATAAGCTATCAGCGGCAGTTGATATCCACAAGACCCCCACATGATATTTCATTCCGCCTGCCTTGGGCTTGAGGGTTTTTGCGCCCGGTGATCTGTTGCCTGGTGTAAAAGCTAGAGATGAACATGACCAGATTTCCGCTCGGTTTTCGCGTTTTTATTCCCTGTGCAAACTCGCGGTGCGTGCAGGAGCATGTCGGGAGCAGCAATACCGCAGTTGAGGCTTGGCGCTGGAATGATGGCGTCACAGCAACAGTTGGACGACTCGGTTGCAGCACATGCACAGAGGAGAAAAAGGCGGGTGTGGCTTGTCTGTTTTCTGCCTTGTATCTTTCGCAGTAACCAGGCTTTGCATGGCTTGGGGAGTGGGCGAGCAGTGACTGGCACGCTCTCTACATTGTTAAGGATATTGATGGGGTGTAGACATTGTGAGAGTACGCTTGTGAAATCCAATGTGAAGGTTTCAGTGTTTTGCTGTAAAGCACATTCAAGGGCTTTTTCAATCGTGCGGGCCCCCGCTCGCTCCGTGTACGCGAAACCTTGTGGCATCGCGCATCTTGTGTATCCCATCTGCCCTGCAGCTTTGCATGCTTCAACAATTACACCACCTTCACATGTTTTTGTGCCTCCCCCAACAGCCGCTACCCCCCCCAACACCGGTGTTTGCCATCGGGGTTGGGTTTTCGTCGCTTGGCAACGACGTTGTAAAACAAGCC